GTGGTTTTTGTAATAATCACAACTGGGATTCCAGCAAATTAGTGATTCTTTAGGCCCAAAGCCCAACAGCTTGTGAGTGCGTGAGCTCATCAGGCAGCGTGCCAGTTCTCGTGAGACCCTCCCGTCTAGGCTCGCTTCCCAGATGCTTGCCACACGATGTGCTGCTCAGCCGTGCAGTGACTACAGCTGCCCTGGATGCTGGCGAGAAGCGCCTGCCCTGGCCTGACTTTCAGAAGGACTTCTTCACTGCAGGAGCGTGGCCTGCCATCTTGTCCAAGCCATGGTGTTCTCTTTGTCGGGGCCAGAGCAAATGCTGCAGGGCGGGATGGGTCACTGGGCTGTCACGCCTGCGTGCCAGGCACTAGGCCAGGCCCCTGTGGGGATCCTATTTGTGTGTTGGGGACAGAGCAGGGAGAGCAGTGATAAATATGTTGGGAGACCTGGAGCAGCCCAAGTGGCAGATCTGGAATGTGGGTCTGAGACTCCTGGGTCCTGAGCTCCTGCAAGTGACCCTGTGTGGGCTCCGGAGCCAAGGGTCTCCTTCCCACAGAGACGGCAAATGGGCTGTCCCTGCAATTTCTCTCGGAGAAGTGATCCCTTCACACTGGGGACTTGGGTTTGGGACCCTCAGGAGGGCTGCAGGCCTGCCAGGAATCCCCATTCGGTGCTCACAGAGCCTTGGGGTCTGGCTTTGCAGGTCAGGGAAGAGCCCCTCACTGAGTGTGAGACAGAGGGGTCCAGCCAGGTCCCTGCTCCCGCATTAGTGAGACACAGAGCTTCTGTGTTGGGTGCTGAAGGGTCTCATATACACTTCTACTGCCCATAGGCAGCTAAGGAGGAAGGGCTATGGCAGGCACTGTGAGGCTGCCTAACAGGTCGCTGTCTCCAAACCCTGGTCTCTGATCAGACATGGGTGAAGGGGGTGGAGCAGCAGAGCTGCCTTTGGAAGCACAGACCTGATTCCATGTTTCTCTGTGCAGGCAGGACCACTTTGGACAACGCTGTCATGTCAATAAGAAGCAATTACCACCCCATCCACGTGATGCTGCTCAGGTGTGATCTGCAGCCTGGCATATGCAGAACCCTTTGCCCATTCAGAACAAAATCTCTAACGTCAAGTTTGAGACATTACTGGAAAAAAAAATCAATCCAGGTTCTCTGAAATAATAATACTGATAATCAAGGTGATATTTTGTCAACACGGTGTATCAGGCCGTTTCAAGCACTTTCCATGTATTAACGTATCTAATCCTCATAACAATTCTACAAAGTGGGCATTTGTATATCTCGCAGTTTTACACAGGAGGAAACTAAAATGTAAAGAAATTATGGCAATTGCATAGGCTCTCCAACCTAAAAAGTGACTGAGCAGGATTTGAACTGAGGCAGCCTGGCTCTCCCAGAGTCCAGGCCTTCGATTTTGTTGAAACAACTTCACGTTTTGTTGCAAGTTTTTTGCCCACCAGGCTGCTCACTTCTGCCCTCCTAGGGGGCCCCCAGTATTTGAGTTAGTTGAGCAAAGGATTGGAGGGTCCTGGGGGCCATGTCTGCCTCTCTCCCTGTGTCCCCAGATGCTGGTATACCATTGACCTCTCTGTTCAAGGTCACACAACTAGGGAGTGGCATGAGAGGGACTTAAACTTGGCTCTCTTGATTCCTATTTCACTGAGCTTCCTCTTTCAGATACACAAAGTTGGAGACAAAGTTTTATTTTTTAAGGTTGTGTTTTGTCTTTTATTATTGGTTTATTATTTATATCTCTTTAAAAATGACTGCCTGGGCGCCTGGGTGGCTCAGTTGGTTAAGCGACTGCCTTCGGCTCAGGTCATGATCCTGGAGTCCCCGGATCGAGTCCCGCATCGAGCTCCCTGCTCAGCAGGGAGTCTGCTTCTCCCTCTGACCCTCCCCCCTCTCATGTGCTCTCTCTCTCTCCTCTCATCCTCTCTCTCAAATAAAT